CACATTGATGTTTAAATTATAATTTCATAAGTAACTTGATTGTTTCACAAGATTCATTTCAAATATAATTAGCTAACATGTTTTCCACCTCGCTCATGATTCATATTAATCAAATTAATTTCTTGGTCTACAAACAACGAATAATAGAAGTATTTATTGTTGGTCGATGTGAGTATAAAATATTAGCTAGTCGTTCTCGTTTTCAAAGTAAATTGATATTAATTGTACAGATCCGTGCTGCCAATTTTTAGCGAAGGATAATGTGTTGAACAGTTCTATCAGATAAAGAAAATCATTCCATCATACTCAAAGCAAGCAAACCAGATGACACTGTAATTTTGAGACGATTCATGGCATAACTCTGAATGAACTAGGATGGTCTCAACCGATATTCAAAAATCCGTGTGAAAGAGCCTAAACCTAATGAAATCAGCGCTGGCTTTCAAATCGACAAGAGCAGATATTACACTTAGATCTTCGCTGAAAAAGCCGAGCAGCGATAGCTATTTTTTTGTTTTGTTATAAGAAATCTTCATTATGAGATTGTCATTTCGCATTTAAAAAAAGTAAGAATGAAAATAAAATTAATAATAACACAAGATAATTTTATAATAGTGAATGTAACCATTTGGTATCATGCAGATCGCTATTCAAAAAAATTGATTTATCTCAACCATTGTTCAACTATCTTACATCGAACAAAATTTATCTCTAGAGTTTTTATAAAAATGGTGAGAACCTTGAGATAGTAATCTGAATTACACCAGTTAGGGTGATTCGAATCATTCCTACTGGAGAGAACTTTGAAAACCTCTAGTATTTCTCGAGTAGGTTTTCAAGTATTGTTCCGCAGACAAGAAAATGTTCGTCTCATTTTGCTCTATCTTCTCATGTGAAACGAGGCAAACATAAACTAATCTGATCGATTTTCAATCGAAATAATGAAACATAAACAAAAAAGAACATGTTTTTTTCGAGTCATCCTTCCTATCTTTGGATGAATATTTCATTTTTATGAAAAGTCTCACGAAACAAAAATAACTCGATGAAAAATAAACTACTCTCTCTTGATAAAAAAGAATTTGAAACTATCTATCAATTCTCGGAAAATAGAAAATTCTGTTGTGTGGATGAGAATAAAAATATTAATCGTATAATCATTAATTTATATAATTCTATAGTATATGTCTCTCTTTCATTAGTACGTAGATTAACGGTATATACATTGTTTAATGAATTTGGCTTTGATTATCTCAATGAAAGATATAATAATTCTGACTCATATATTCATTATGTTATACGTATTTCTTACATCTTCTCCACAGAAAAGGATACTTGATCGTATGAGGAACACATCTCTCGATGTCCAAACACTTACGATCAAAATGTCCTTTTTTTTACACAAAATGAGTTAAATCGATTAGTTTGATGTAAATATAGTTTTATAATAATTGAAGATTACAATATACGAGTAGATTATTTTGTTTGTGATATACTTACAGTATATTTCTCATAGAAAATGAATATATTTTTCAAAATGAATATTCTGAAACAAGTCAAAACAATGCTATAGATTTTTTTATTTCACAATAAAGCATGTCCTTCAGACCATTTTTCACGGCGATATTTCTTTTGTTTTTCTGACTTTGTTACGTCTAACTATACCATCATTCGAGATCATGAATATTTGACATATGAAAATCTTGGTTTATTAAATTCATGTAGAATTATTCTATAAATAGTTATTTAAAATGAAAAGTATTGTCGATAAATTTTATATGTCAGAAGAAACTAGTGCTAATTATTTTCAGTTTTTTTTCTTTGTTATTACATAATTACATTATCGTCTAAGATAATATTTATAGAAATATCATGACATTTGTCGATCTCTATAAGAGATGGTTCTATTTAATTTTCAAGTTTGATTGGAAATTGTTCAAAGTTCTCTGCATATTGTCTTATTTTTCTTTTATTAAAATCATCATAATTGGTATACTCGAATGATGATAACATACAATACAATAGTCATTCACACTGGTGTCTTTTTTGTTTTTACAAAAAGAAATTATTTTCCTAACTCATTTCCCTATTATGAATGAATGCTTCATTTTTAGGAGAAAGATAAAGTTTTTATTTTTGTCTTTGCTCATAAAACTTTTCGAAATCTCAAGAATATAAAACATCCTTGAAATATCGATGACAAATGAAAGAAATTTTAAAATGTTTTTTTCTTCAAAAAATACCTTTTTTTATCATTTCTATGATAGTTGTTGTTTTAATTTATTTTTCTATCTTCTCATGTTATGGCATTTTATTTTTCAAAATATCTTCTACAAAATGAAACTGATTGATTGATGAAATCCTAGCAAAACGAAAAACAAAAAAAAATTGACGTTTCTCTATAAGTGAGGGGAGTCGAACAAGTATTCATTGATCGATAAATCCAAAATATAATGATTTCGTAATATAAAATGTTCTTGTCTCAAAAATGAATTTTTAGAATTATTAGTTTCTTTTTACACTCTGCCTCACATACTTTCTTTTGATAGATAAAAGGAAACGTAAAATTGTATGAGTAACTTAATCTTGTTTTTCTTTTTAAATTTCAAAAGAAAGAGAAAATGTAATCAGAAAATTTTATAATTTATTATATGATACCTATAGAAAGTAATTATCAATTATTGCCTTTCTTTTCTGTTTTATAAAAAATTTAAACATTTCTTAGTTTCACGTACATAACCAAACTTCTAGTTTACTGTATGAAATTGCTATGACACTTAATAATGATAAGTTTTCGAGTCAAAAATTGATCACTGAATGAAAAAATAGTTTTTCATATGGTTCATCTTTATATAAGGACCCAAACCAAGTTAATTCATCAACTCGAGTTGATTTTAATGAAGACTTCTCGTTTGATTACAAAAATTGAATTTTCTTAGTTATATGTATCAATTATGAATAGACAATAAATGTAATAAAGGAGTAACTATCATTCACTTATTATGAAGGATAACTGTATAAAATAAATCTTTTCGATATAAGCACGTTCTGTAAATATCACAACAAACGATCAATAACCTGTATTACTGATTTTAATATATGTATTCAATTGCATTCACAAATTCAGAGAAATAGTGATGAATATAAAACTCTCAAAATTATTTTCAATACTAGATTTCATGATTTCGTGATTGTGGATATATAAAAAACAAAACAAATGTTGAGGCACATGCACCAGAAGTCATCAATTGCTCTCAAAATATACAGCTGATTCTACAGTATATATTATCGTTTTTATTTTATTTTCCAGATATATCAATAGAAAAAAAATTATTCATTTACAGATTATGAATAGAAAACAGTGATACAGAAACGATACTATTTCTAGCTTTTGGCAATAGTTTTTTTATATTAAACTACATCAAATAAAATGTTAGTAGAAAGAATGAATTGGGTTTAGATTTTATAAGCACTATCGTTTTTACACATTCCACTTCCTCTTGAACGTAATCTAATGTAATGGGTAAAGACAAGAGGAATGCCGCGCTCGTGCTTCATTTGTGACAATTTTTTCTTTCCATTTGAACAATGTATCGCTTGTCACTAGGCGCAAGTGAAATCGGTTAATTGATCATATCAACTGAAACATGAAAATTGAGAAATATAAGAAAGAACGAAATTGCTTTGTTGATTGAAAATTCCAAAAACTAAAGTCTTTTATTGATCAAATCTATTCAGTTTGTTTAAATATTCACGAGTATTGATTAATAAAATAGATAATTGTTTCTAATTACTGAAAAAATCACTGTCTATGAAATTATATGATATGCTTAGAATTAAATGAAGTATATGCTGTGTTTTTATAGATTGCAACTTCATAGACGATAAAAACAAATCTAAGTAAAAAATAAACTTGTCAATCTAATGATTTGATGATAGTAATAGACCATTGTAGGTGTATTCGTGTATTTCATATTATTTTTTTCTCTCTTACAGAAAGTATTCAAGAGATAAAAGAACTTCCTTTTGTTTTCATAGTATTTAGTTTATTCAAATCTTTCGTCAAATTATTGTCGGTATATTCTTTGTTTCGATTGGATGGAGATGTTATGAAGTTTCATAAAAAAGAAAACATACTCAACAACTTATTTGTGTATTTTTCTTGTTAAGTTTTGATGTTTTTGAAAATAATACAGGCATATTCGGACATATATCCGTTTTCCATAATTTTATAAAGACAATTAGAAAAAGTATTAATTAAATAGGCATATACATGGCTAGACTAGAATATTTTTTATTAGAATTATCTTGATTTCCGTAATTGATACGACAAAGAACAAATTGAAGGGTCTTCATTGCTTAATATAGTCATAAAAAACTATTCAATTCTCTCATCAATATAGACATTGTTCAATTGGTATTTTTTTGCCGATTTCGTTATGCAATGAACTGATGTAGTTATCGAGTGTTTGTAAAAGGGACAGTTTTATTGCGATATTTATTTTGTTTTTCTTTCCAAAAAAAGTGAATAAACGTGAGTAAATAATAGGTGAGAAAATGTACAAGACATTTCATTTGAAGAGAGCTTGTTACAATGCATAATTGAACGAAAGAAATAATAATATAATGTATAAAAGGAAATTACTAAGATTATTAGTTAATAAAATTGATCTGAATATGAGGTATCTTTTATTTATGCTTTATATTTATTTATTTAAATCTTATAATATCAATTAGTTTGTTATCTGTTGACAATAATAAGAAAAAATTTTGTTATACTCGAAGTACGTTAATTTCGTTGACTGAAAAGTGTTTCTGCCTTTTTAGAAATCAAATTATGTATAGATCAAATATTTGATTTTGTAAAAGAAATCTCAATAATAATAAATCAATTAATTAATCAACCATATATTTCTTTTCTCATTAGACTTTCAATGAAAAAATTTTGATAAAGATGTGTTAACGTTCTATGCGTGTAAAAGAATTTTCGTAAGAACCATATGTTAAGAAGTATAAGTGAATCTTTGAAAAGTAGAAGAAAAATTTGATCTAAATGATATTTAAAGAAAATTGCAAACGTCCCCTATGAAATGATATCCTTCTCATTACTTTTATGAGAAGTTTCTATCAATAAAAAGGCTTATAATAAAAGATTTATTGACATATTTATATTTGATATATATGATAGAATTCAGATTGATGTTGATGCTTAAAGAATATTTGTGTAAAGTTTTTGGTTTAAAATATCAAGTAACTTCTCCCGATTGTAACGTATTAAACAATGAGTCTTTTGATAAGATTCATAAACAATTTTCTTTATATTCTAAAATTTATTCAAATTTAATTTATATTTCTTTTTTCAAATGACCTCAGTTCAATTCAAATAGTCATTAGTCCAGAAATCTTACTCATATGAACTGCTGATCGCAAGATTCAATTAGTATGATTAGGTACAACAGATCAGGCATCATATGATCATGGTTGCATAAGAGGAAAATAATTTTTGAATTTTTATATCAAGACAGATGAACTCTTTGCCAGTATTTTCATATGAAGAAATCCAATATGATTTTTTTTTGTATTAACCTCTTTGTATATCTGTTGTGTCTGTTATTTATTTGATTAAATTAGTAAATTGAATGAAGACATTAATAATTGTTTTCTTATTCAAACGATTAATGTGGAGAATCAGCTATTGTAATCAATTTAAATTAAATAGTCTGGTTGCTTTGCCTTTTATTTTGAAGAAAGTTCGTTTCCAGAAAAAAGTGCATTTTGATCAGAGATTTCTCTTTAGGCTCTCTAATGGTGTAGAGCTAAGTTCAAATTTGGGTGTGGGTGTAGATAAAGAGAAGACCCCTACCCACATTCACACACCCTTCAAAAAAATTTCTTCAAAAGAAAATTTTTATCAAGATCAAATAACAGGAAAATTAGAAGCTGTTGGAGATACAGTAGAACCATTTTATTTTATTTTACATCCAAAGATGAACAAAATTTAACTCGTGAAGATCAAGATAAAGGAAAAGAATTATATTCACTTTTAGTTCAACATGAAATTATTCAAGGAGATACAATAAGAAAAAGATTTCGAAATAATTCACAAGAACGAGATAAAATAGAAAAGATAATTCGAAATGATCTTGATCCTTCGATTACCGATCCATTAATTAGTTTATTAAATAGTAAATCTTCTTTTGAAAAAAAAAAGATTTCGAAAATATTGTTTGTTATAGTGAAGAATTATGGCAAATTTTAAATATAAATAGAATAGAAAAAGAATTACCACAGATATATGAAAATGTTTGGAAAGATTTAGAAGATAAAATAGATCCACAACAAGTTAATATTTCTCTATTTGAACAATCAATAGAAAGGAAAATATGCGAAAATTAAATTTAATGATAATGGTCATGAAACAAAAGATCTTAAAACATTTTTAATAGAATTAAAAGATAATATTAGTCAACAAAATCAATATTTTTATCAACACAGATTTACCATTTACTATTAAAGAAGAAGAAGGAAATAATATTCGAATTTATCAAAAAGAAAAAATATTTTAAAGTCTGATGAACTTGCCAAATATAAATATGGAGATATTAAAAGAAATATTGAAAGAATTTTAAATAAAATTTTAAAAAATACTCAATTTGAAAATGATAAAGAATTAATTTTGTCTTTACAAGGAGATATTCGTTTATTTAAAAAAGGTTTAAAAGCTAATTTAAAAGATTTTATAGATCTTCAAGATCAAGAAAATGTTCCAAGTCAATTCAGATTTTTTTGAAGGTTTTAATCTTAGTAAATTTTTGATTATTGAAGAAGATAAATCTTGGTGGGATTGGAATGGTTTTGCCGTTGCAATGATAGGACTTGTTCAAGTCATTGCCGAAGCTGTTTTAGTAGCCTTTGGTTTGACTCAGATAGGCAATGCTTTAATATCAGGTATTTTTAGTTGGAAAGAATGGGCAATACAAAAAGCAATTAGCTTCGGTCTCTCTATGTTGACTGCTGGAATTGGAAAGTTTTTGACGGATAAAATTATGGAACAGATTCAAGAAAATGTTTATACAAAAGATTGTTAGTAAAATAGAAGAAAATTTATTAAAAGGAATAATCGGTTTAATAAATAATAAAGTAGCAACTCTTTATCTTCAAAGTAAAAATGAAGATGAGTTCGAAAAATCTTTTGAAGAATTGAAAAAACATATTAGAAAAAACATTAGGAAAAGATATTTTATTACTTCAACAATTTGATAATATTCGAACATGAGTTGTATCTTCTTTAAAAAATAGTTATCATCGATTTGCTGATGGTCTAAAGAAATCAAATTCAAAATACGTTAAAATAGCTGCTACTACTCTTAAAGCAAT